GTTTTTACCCAAGTATGATTGCTACCATATTTCATTCCCCACTGGTTTTATGTGCATGAGTCAAATCATTGATTCATTCTATTTCCTTTAAGGGTATTCTTTGTTTGGTTCTTGCTCTCCAGTCCACTAGCATATTTAGCCTTACTTAGCCCCGGACTTTCTCACTGGTTAAGAAAAATGTTCTTACAGTTACCAAGACCCCTAGTACCACAGTTTCCATCAGTACTGTCCTCATTGAAGTCCAGATCCCCTCCTGCAGGCATCAAGTCTCCTCCTGGCCTGTGTGGAGCCCAGGCTAGGGATCTCACAGGTGAAGTCGCTGGTTGCCAGGATTTTAGGCTGTTTTTTGTGTAGGAGCTGGGAGTGGTGTAGTCGGGTCTGGGTGCCATCTACTTCAACAGCCATAGGCGTGCTCAGGGTAACAGTGTAGCATCCCTTTCAGGTTGTGGTGAGTCCTTGGGCAGTGAATTTCTTTACACACATAGAGTCTCTGGGCTGGATGGAGTATACAGGGTCTATGGTGGGCACTGGCAGTACATCTGGAACAAGCTTATGGGTGGCTCTCTGGGTAAACTGCAGAGCCTGTAAAGACTTGAGCAAGGGAATGGTTATGAATTCTAGCTTTCAGTTTCTCCCTGACCCCTGGAAGGATGGAGAAAGGTCTACCATATATGATCTCAAAAGGGGGGAACCCATCCCAGTAGGGGGTGCACCTGACCCATAAGAGGCGAAGGGCAGGAGGTTGGTCCAGTTTTCACCGTTTTCTAGGACAAATTTAATTAACCTTTTTAGAGGCCTGCTCATGCCTGTCCTAAGGCTTGAGCTATACTTTGAGATACCTTGCTACAAAGGTGGGGCTGTTATCTGATCCTATGACTACTGGCAGCCCGAATCTGAATTTAAGTATAATCTCCTGGAGTAATTTTTTGACTACTGTAGAGGCAGTTCCTGTCCTAGTGGGGTATGCTTTAACCCAACCTGAGAAGGTGTCTATAAAAAATAGTATGTACTTTTACCTTAATGCTGATGGCTTAATCTCTGTGAAACCCACCTTCTAATGCTCTCCTAGGGAATTTCCCTGGGGCCCAAATTCCCAGGGGGACCCTCCTACCTTAACATTTACCTGTGCACAGATAGTACTTCTAGTGACTATGCTTTTAATTATCTTATTTAAGCTTGGTATATCTGCCTCACAGAAGTTCAGAAGTCTTGGTGACGCCTAAGTGGGTAACCTGGTGTAACTGGGCAACTAACGTCTGTCTTAGAGCCTCTGGGACCAACAGTCTATCATCTCGTAGGGTCCACCAACCATCTGGTCCTTTGATGGCTTGCTTCTGTCAGCCAATTCATCCTCTATTTTGGTAGAGGTGTGGGTCCGGCAGGGTTACTAAGACTTGTAAAGGCCCTACTAGTTTTTGGGCATCTTCCTTAGCAGTTTGGTCTGCGGGTCTATTTCCTCTGGCTTCAGTTGTCTCCCCTTTCTGATGTCTTTTGCAGTGTACTATTGTAACTGCCTTTGGGAGTCAGATGGCTTCAAATAAGGCTAAAATAATGTCCTTTCTGGCTGGAGTTGGTAACCTTCTTTCCCAGGGGATGGCACTGTGTCCCTATCAAAGGGCCTGGATTAAGGCCAAAAGTTCAGGAACTGTGACCAAATGGTGTGGTCTAGGGTGACTACTGCTGCCCTTGCATATCAGATCCCATCCTGAACGTAACTGCTCCCATCAGTGTACAGTACCTCATCTGGTGATGATGGCAGGACATCTGTCAGTACTGCATCTGTTACCTCTATGTAGTCATGAATGGGTTCCTCTGGATCATCTGGAATTAGGCTGGCAGGGTTGATGGCCAGTGTCTTATGGAACCGGATGTAGGGCTGGTCCAGGAGAAGAGCTTGGCACTGGGTGATTTTGGTGTTTGACATCCATCTCTCTGGAGCACCTCGAAGGAGGGTCTTAATGGCATGGGGTATTGTTAGGGTTAGCTCCTGGCCCAGAGTCTGCTTATCTGCCTCCTTCACCAGTAGTGCTGTGGTGGCCACTGATTAGAGGCACGCTGGCCACTCTGCTGCCACAGAGTCTAGCCTCTTAGATAGGCAACAGGTCTCTTCCAGGGACGTAGAGTCTGAGTGAGAACCCCTTTGGCAATGCCCCTTACCTCACGTAGAGGTGGAAGAGCTTCGTGACATCTGGTAAAGCTAGGGCAGGTGCTGGAACGAGAGCCTTCTTTAGTTCCTCAAAGGCCTATTGTTACACTTTGGTCCAATTCAGCGGCTGTGTTCCTCCAGTATGTGTTCCTTCCTAGATCTATAGTCCATGATGTCCAAGGAAAATAGGCAGTTTGTCCGGTGGCTCCCTGGACTGATGTATGGGTCCCATCGGCTCTGTCAAGACTGAATAGACTGCCCCAGTATAACAGGTTTGCCCTCCACTTGTAAGGTTACCCTTGGGGCTTAATGGAAAGGAGCCCCAGTCCCGGGCGAGTACCATCTCTCCCAATCTTTGTTTCTGTTTCTGTCTCTGGCTAAGGTCCCCGAAAAGAGGGAGAGCTTCCTGCCCCTTCTGGGGGTCCCTCTCTCCTCTCTCTCGAGTATCTCGCTAGGGCCTCCAAATGTTGTGGGGTCGAACCCTGGGTTCAAAATAAGACCACTGGAGGCTGATGATTAATTTAAAAAGCAGGCAAGAATTTATTGAACTGGCCAGGGCAGCCGCAAGAGTATCACACGCAAACGGACCCTACACGACTGTGAGGCTTTAGGGGCAGGTAGTTATTTTTAAAGGTTCTGAGAAGGAAAACCCCTATTTTGCAACAAACTGTTTGGAATTTTCTGCTGTTCTTCCTAGACAAAATGTTGCTGTCTGACCTTGTAGGCCAGAGACCAGATATGCCCACAATCTCAATACCATGCCAGGTGTCAGGGCCAGTATGGAGACAACCACCAAGTGCACATAGGGCTGGCTTTTTAATTAAAAAAAAAAGAAAGGAAGTTCTGCCTGTATCCTTGCTTAGAATTTGAATTCATAATAGTAGGGTTAAAATTCAAACAGCAGTTTTTTACCCAAGTATGATTGCTACCATATTTCACTTTTCTATTGGCTCACTGTAAAGATGATTCTATTGGCAGTGCTATTGGTGACGAATTAAATGTTTCAGTTTTAGGACATGAAGTTGGAGGGGGCCATAAAGGCCATTCCTCCAATTTTTCTTCCTGCTCCTCTCTAGGAGGAGCGGAGGGAACCAGGTGAGGAGGCTCCTCTTCAGCCTCTCAAAAAGGCTCTAGCAAACGCAATATTGTGTTCTCCATGGGGAAATAGTTTTTTGAGTTAAGTTTTCTCCTGCTGCTGAGCTTTACCCCCCTCAAACTTTAACCACTCAAGATCTAATGTACTTTTTTCAGGAAACCAAGGGTTATGTTCTATAACATCAAACAAAAACTACAAAAGAATACCTTCTGAAACTTTCAATTCCTTAAGCATACAAACCTAAATTCTAATTCTTCCCCATTAGCCTGGCTGAAAAAGATGTTCCCAACCTACTTACAGATTGCGTGACTCTGCAGCTGGCCGTGGGCTTTGAGTACGGTGAGCCTCCCTTACCTTTTCTCGATGTATTTTTCCTCCTTTGCTTTAGGCCACATGTGTCAAACACAAGGCCCGAGGACCAAATCCGTCCCGCCAGGCCTTGCAATGTGGCCCACACCGCGCTGTCATCACTGCACTCCGCTGTGTTTCCATCACAATGACAGTTTATGACTGTTCAGTAAACCATTCGGCCCGCGATTTAGGCTGGATTTTAGATTTTGGCCTCTTCTCTGATTGAGTTTGACACCCCTACTTTAGGCGAAAAATATCATGTCCTCCAGATGTCCCTATTCAGGCGCCAGATGTGGAAACCCCTTTCATGTCCCACGTGGCTCAGAGTTCCAGTTCAGGGTCCAGGTTCTGGAGAAGGCTGCAAACAAATGAAGAGACTAGAAAAGTATTAATTTGGGAATAATGGGGGTCAGGCGGGAGCCCACCTCTAGTGGGAGGACTACGCTGGGCTCTGGCCTAGCTATCCCTTTTATTGAGACTATGGGATATACCCATAGCCCTTGGGCAGGAAACTCCAAGAACAGAAATTTACATAAGGCAACAGGTGGAGACTGCTTCAGCTAACAGTGTTTCAACTAAACAGTGAGCGAACTAGCTCTGACCTTTCAGAACAATCCTATATAATAAAACCCTAATATCCAAATTGTCCAAACGGTGGAATGACTGGTTGCTATGAACTGACCACTAGGGGGCAGATGCTCAATGTAGGAGCTCTCCCCTTGTGGTCAGTGCGCTCCCCAATCTTACAGTTAATACTTTAACCCATTTTGGGTTTGTTCTTGTGTATGGTGTAAGGAAGTGGTCTAGTTTCATTTATTTGCAGGTATCTGTCCAATTTTCCCAGAAATATTTATTGAATAGACTGTCTTTAGCCTGCCATATGTTCTTGCCTCCTTTATCAAAGATTAATTGGCCATGTAGGCATTGGTTTATTGCTGGGCTACCTATTCTGTTCCATTGATCTACATGTCTGTTTTTATTTATATCGATACCATGCTGTTTTGTTTACTATGGGCTTATAGTATAGTTTGATATCAGGTAGTGTGATACCTCAACTTTGGACTTCTTTCTCAATATTGCTAAGGCTATTAGTTATTTTTTAGAATATATTTCATTGATTTTTTTACAGAGAGGAAGGGAGAGGAATAGAGAGTTAGAAACATTGATGAGAGAGAAACATGAACCTACTAAGGATGTGCCTGCAAACAAGGTACATGCCCTTGACCAGAATCGAACCTGCAATCCTTCAGTCTGCAGGCTAATGGTCCATTCGCCGAGCCAAACCAGTTAGGGCCATGTTAGTATTTTGAAGTGTTTCTTTCTTCCCCCCCCCCCCCCGAATTTACACAAACACTTAACAGTGGCACATATTCCCTGTGGGCTGTGTTCACCCAGCCAGCCAGCCAGCCAGGAACAGACACAAGTTCAGCTCAGCCTCCAGGCCTCTCGCTCGGACTCCAATAGGGTGAGCACGTCGCCCTTGCGCACAGGGCCTTTCACGTTGCGGATGATGGAGTGGCTCATGTTGTCCATGAACTCCACGCAGACCTGCGTGCACTGTCCCCGGGAGCCGGTCCTGCCCAGCACCTTGGTCACCCTGGCCAGCTTGATAGGCTGCACGCGACTCGTGTCCATGATGGCAGCAACAGTCGGGTGGAAAAAGCAGTACTTTGAAGTGTTTCATTGATACCTTAAGACAAGTGTTTCAAAACCATGGCATGATTTAATTTCAAGTTGCCAATTTTGTTTTTACCAACCTCAGAAAGATATGGTTACACTGCCAATGCCTGGCTGGCTTAATTTGACTTAAAGAGTTTAATATGACTTAACATTAAAAGCTCACACTAGCCTGAAATATATAATTTCACCCATACGGTGACATTCAACATTCAAGTGCCAGGGTTTTTATACCCTTTGGGTCAAGTCTCTTCAGACTTTTAAAGAATCACTTTTAGGCTTACAAAAATAAGTATTTGTCAAAATGTTCAATAAACATTACATTAAAACTAGCAGCAAAAAATATCTAGAAATCTGTTGTATGCAAGTAGTTTTCTTCCCAACCATGGAAGGTGTGTTTGGTTGTTTTTTTTTTAGTTTTTTTGTTTTTGTTTTACTTTTAATATGTTTTTATTGTTTTCAGAAAGAGGGAGAGTGAGAGAGAATCATTGCTCGGCTGCCTCCTTGCACACTCCCTACAGGGGATTGAGCCCGCAACCCAGGCCTGTGCCCTGACTGGGAATCAAACTGGGACCTCCTCATTCATAGGTCGATGTTTAATCACTGAGCCACGCTGGCCAGATGGTGCTTTTTATAATAGAACTAGTGGCTCAGTGCACAAATTCGTGCACATTGAAAGGAAATTAATTAGAACAAATATTTTAATATTGCTGTTTGCCCTTTCTCTATAATAGAAGTGTCAACCAAATTCATGATCGACAATGACAGATGGAAATACATGTGCAATTGGCACCAGTGAGAGCTTTATATGATCACACATGCACAAGTCAACTTAGCCTTTTATAGATCTAGAACACATGTGTCAAACACAAGGCCCGCGGGCCAAATCCGTCCCGCCAGGCCTTGCAATGTGACCCGCACCGCGCTGTCATCACTGCACTCCGCTGCGTTTCCATCACAATGACAGTTTATGACTGTTCAGTAAACCATTCAGCCCGCGATTTAGGCTGGATTTTAGATTTTGGCCCCTTCTCTGATTGAGTTCGACACCCCTAATCTAGAATAAACTTGCTTAATTAGACCTGCTTTCTGATGCAGCTAAACTTTTTCCAGCCCAGTGAAGCACCCAAACTTCTCTTTCAGATAATTGTCATCCACACAGCAGTAAATATCAACACAAAGCAGATTATTGTTGTAGATCATGCAGGGAGAACAAAGGGTAAAATATTTAACTGCAGCAGTGTTTGACTATATTCTGGGCAATGAGAAAACCTGAAGTCATTTTCAAGGTCCATCATTTCTTTTCAGTTGGGTCAAGTTTCTAAGCTTTCTAAATCTATTTTCCGTCTAATGAAAAGAAAATAGGATCCCACTGAGTGTCCTATCTACCTACTCCAGGACTTCTGTGAGGATCAAATGAGATGAGGCATAGGAAAACACATCACACTTCATGTGCCTGCAAACAAGGTACATGCCCTTGACCAGAATTCAACCTGCGTTCTTTCAGTCTGCAGGCTAAAGTGTAAAATGTTTCCACCTGTGTTCTTGGAACTCCAAGGAGGCTAGTCGCTAGAGAGAGGGAGCCGGATGTTGCTATGTGATGTCATTACCCAGAACCTACAGCGACCCTGTTTTCTGGCTGTGCTGGGCTATGGGCTGCATTTTGCACTATGGAGTCTGAGCAGGGTTGGCTGCATTTTGGTGGGCTGTCACTCCAGGGTGGTGTTGGGGCCTGTGTCCCACTTGGGGAAAGCCAAGTGTTGCTTTCTGGGTGCCAGGTCTGTGGTGCTCTTTCTCTGTGTGTGTCATGGCAGCTCCTGCATTGATTGTCTGCACCCAGGTGGTCAGTGTGCGTCATAGCGACTGGTCAGAAGGTGAGAAGGACACATAGCATGTTAGCCTTTTATATATATATATATATATATATATATATATATATATATATATATATATATATATATATAAAAAGAGTTTAATATGACTTAACATTAAAAGCTCACACTAGCCTGAAATATATAATTTCACCCATACGGTGACATTCAACATTCAAGTGCAAGGGTTTTTATACCCTTTGGGTCAAGTTTCTTCAAACTTTTAAAGAATCACTTTTAGGCTTATAAAAATAAGTATTTGTCAAAATACACACAGTGGTGCCTCGCATAAAGAACGCCTCGCACAGCGAACGCTGCACACAACGAACTTCATTTCATGATTCATACAACGAACTTCGTTTCACACAACGAAGTCGCCCGAGCTTCCACGACCGCTTTGCCCGAGCTTCCACGATCGCTGCCGATGTATTGCATCCTTCCGCGCAGGCACTGCAGGCAGTCGTTAGTCACTGCGCTTAACTTAAGCACGTATCGCGGCAATCGTTCTTCATTACGAATTAAATCACGCACGTATCACGGCAGTCGTCCTTTTAAGTTAAACTCAATATTTTTTTTATATCATGATGTATCTAAATAAAAATAATAACAAAAAATTTATCTTTTTTTATGTCATCTTAGCATATTTTATGCTACAGAACGAATTATTTTTTTTAACATGTATTGTTATGGGAAAACGCGTTTCACATAACGAACTTTTCGCATAACGAACTTGCTCCTGGAACGAATTAAGTTCGTTGTGTGAGGCACCACTGTATAGATACCAAATTGAATTTAAGGTATTAACAGAAGCAAAATACACTCTAATAAACAGGGACTTCCAACTCGCTCTATAACGAACTAAGAAGCAAGTTAATTAAGTTGTTGATTTAGCTATGGGCAAACATTGGTCACTGCCACTTAATTCCATAAATTCATGCTGTTCCACATTTAAAGGGGAAACAGAATGGGGGGGTCTCTCTATTCTTCCCACTAGAAATGCACTGGAAAGGCTGCTAATGCAAGTTAGAGCTGAAGTAAAAATTCTATTTTCAGTGTGTTGGGGAAGTGGAAGGGATGTACATTACATTCACCAGGTCTACATGGAAGACACTTTGATCATAAAACAGCCCAGAGTAAGAATTCATTTGTGGAATGTGGTGAGCATGGTCATGTCCTAATTCTTTCTTGGAGTTTGGAAGTGTCACTAGTCGTGTAACTATCTATAGTCAGGATTAAGGGACACTATGCCAGGGGTCTGCAACCTTTAAGACATAAAGAGCCATTTGGACCCATTTCCGAAGGAAAAAAAAACCTGGGAGCCGCAAAACCATTGCGACATTTAAAACAAATATAACACTGCATATATTGTTTCTTACCTTAATGCTATATACCAGATCGTGCAGTTAGCTGTCAATCTGAAGAAAAAAAGGACTTTTTCACTTAACAATGTAAAATATATTTTTGCAAATTAATAGCTAATTAAAATATTTAATTTACCTGGCTAATGGGATTTTTGCTCCTGAACCTCAGTGCGCAGTGTCAGCACATCAGGTAATAAGACGTTACCTTCATTTTCACACAGGCTTGCAAGTTGTCGGAGCCGCGGTAAAGCTTCAAAAGAGCTGCAGGTTGCGGACACTTGCACTATGCTGTGCCTTCCTAAGATTCCACAGTGTATCTTGCCCCTAGATGACTAAAAAGATGGCTCAGTATTAGGAGTAGAGGTGGGGAGGTCTTGTCAACTTCAGAAAATGGTTCCATATAAATTTTTGGATTATTCTAATCCTGCAAAATATGCCATTTGGCATTTTAATAGGGATCATGTAGAATCTATAGGTTGCTTTTGGTAGTATGGATATTTTAATGTTTTAAAGCTCCCTATCCATGAACATGGTATATGCTTCCATTTATTTGTGTCTTCCTCAATTTCTTCAGTGTTGTATAATTTTCTGAATATAGGTCTTTTACTTTCTTTGTTAAATTTATTCTTAGTTTCTTTATTTCTTTTTGGTACAATTATAAATGGGATTGCTTTCTTAGTTTCCCTTTCTGATACTTCATCATTGGTATATAAAAATGCGACAGACTTTGTGGATATTTATTTTGTATTCTGCTACTGAATTCATTTATCAGTCTTAGTAGTTTTTTGGTAGAATCTTTAGGGTTTTCTATATACAGTGTTAGCTACTACAAATAATAACAGTTTTACTTCTTCCTTTCCAGTGTGGATTTCTTTTATATCTTTTTGTCTGATTTCTGTGGCCCGACTTCCAGTACTCTGTTGAATAAGAGTGGTGAAAGTGAACTCTTGAGAGGAAGTTTTAGTTTTCTCCATTGAGTATGATGTTGGCTGTGGGTTTGTCATATATGGCCTTTATTATGTTGAGGTATGTTCCCTTCATTCCCATTTTGCTCAGAGTTTTATAAATGGGTGCTGAATTTTATCAAGTTTTTTTCCTGTGTTTATTGATGTATGATCCATGTGATTTTTATCTTTCATTTCATTTATTGGTTTTCAGATATTTTTTAAAATATCTCTTATTGATTTTTTACATAGAGAAGGAAGGGAGAGGGATAGAGAGTTAGAAACATCGATGGGAGAGAAACATTGATCAGCTGCCTCCTGCACACCTCCTACTGGTGATGTACCCACAACCAAAGTACCTGCCCTTGACTGGAATTGAACCTAGGACCCTTCAGTCTGCAGGCTGATGCTCTGCCCATTGAGCCAAACTGGTTAGGGCTGATTTTGCAGATATTATACCAGCCTTGCATCCCAGGAGTCAATCCTACTTGGTCATGGTGTATAATATTTTTAATGTATTGCTGGATCCAGCTTGCTATTATTTTGGTGAGGATCTTAGTATCCATTTTTATCAGGGACATTGGCCTGTAATTTTCTTTCTTTGTAGTGTCTTTATCCAGTTTGGAATTAGGATAATGCTGGTCTTGTAAAATGAGCTTGGTATTGTAGTATTCCCTCCTCTTGAATTTTTTGGAATAGTTTTATGAGGATATGTAATTAGTTCTTCTTTGAATGTTCAGTAAGATTCACCTGTCAAGCATTCACAGCTTTTTTTTTTTTTTTGCCTCTGACATTTTATTTTATTTTATCTTAATAAACCTTTATTGTTCAGATTATTACATTTGTTCCTCTTTTTCCCCCACATAGCTCCCCTCCACCTGGTTCCCACCCCACCCTCTGCCCTTACTTCCCCCTCCCTCCTCATCCATAGGTATACGA